TGATCTGGTTTGGTAGGAACCACAGAACCAATCATTGGAATTAAAAGATGAACTGCATGATCGTCTTCATTAAGAAGCTTCTTTTCAAGCTTCTTCTACTTATTTTTTTTTCCAAAAAAATCATAGCCCAAGTTTCGCCTTTTCTTGTAATTGGGATCATTGCATAATGGCTTCCTATCTTATACTGGAAGAAGTGCGTCAGCAGCCTTAGCCATTTGAGCAGCACATATAAAATCTGTCAACTCTGCAATTGATGAATCAGGATTATATCTCTATGACTATTGAAGACATAGCATCTGAGAATCCCATTTCTTTTCAAGTATAACAGTTTACTCTCCTCATCAAAATTAGAATTCATGATTTTCTCGGTATTAAAAGAACTATCGATATCTGCGAAATCATCTTGAAAGATCACTTCATAATCAGATGAGTTGTTATCAGAATCAACATGTTGCATGAGTGCGAGCTTTTCAAGAGTCTATACTATTGAGTTTTATTCTCAAGAGATTTTTTGACAATTATATCTACATCTACATTTGTCAAAGATGATAGATTCTCTGATTTGAAGAAGAAAGATTTATTGGGTTTCTACAACTGAAGAAATATTCAGTTCACCAATATGAAATCAAATAACTTAACAATCATGCATCATATTTAGGCATTTGCAAAAATAGGTGCATTTTCATTCATTCTCATTCATGTTGAATTTTGACAGGAATTTCAAAGATTTTAGCAAAGATTCAAATCCATCATTTGATGGATCAGTATTTCCAGGTAGAGTTCATAATGAGAAGAACTCGTCATCTGAAGAAGGAAGAAGAAGTTCATAATGAGAAGAATTTGTTCAACCTTTTGTTTGAATTCATTATTTGATGGATTAACATTGCCAGGTAGAGTTCATAATGAGAAGAACTCGTCATCTAAAGAGAAGAAGAAATTCATAATGAGAAGAATTTGTTCAACTTTTTGCTTGAATTCATCACTTGATGGATCAGCTTTTCCAGAGAAAGTTCATAATGAGAAGAACTCATCTGAAGAATGAAGAAGAAGTTCATAATGAGAAGAATTTGTTTAACCTTTTGCTTGAATTCATCATTTGATGGATCAACTTTTCTAGAGAAAGTTCATAATGAGAAGAACTCATCTGAAGAAGGAAGAAGAAGTTCATAATGAGAAGAATTTGTTTAACCTTTTGTTTGAATTCATCATTTGATGAATTAAAATTTCCAGGTAGAGTTCATAATGAGAAGAACTCATCATCTGAAGAAGGAAGAGGAAATTCATAATGAGAAGAATTTGGTCAACCTTTTGCTCAAATCCATCACTTGATGGATCAGCTTTTCCAGAGAAAGTTCATAATGAGAAGAACTCATCTGAAGAAGAAAGAAGGAATTCATAATGAGAAGAATTTGTTCAAATTTTTGCTCAATTTCATCATTCGATGGATCAATATTGTTAGAAAGAGTTCATAATAAGAAGAACTCATCTAAAGAGGAGAAGAGCTTATTCAACCTTTTGAATGACTTTATCACAGAAGGAAATAGGTCAACATCATCCCCAGTGGAAAGTTCATAATAAGAAGAACTCATCTGAAGAAAGAAAAGAATTTATTCAATATTTCCATATTAATCAAGTGAAGCCAAATTGATAAAAAAAATTATTATCTTTTCGTCTTTGCCCTATTCTTGTTAACACAAGAATGAGCAAAGAGGGGCAGCTGAAGATACTAATTTTTTTATTACTATAATTATTATTATTATAATTATTATTATAATTATTATATATATTATTATATATATTATTATTATTATTAAAAAATAATTACAAATAATATTATAGGCCCAACAGACTGGCCCAAACAAAAAAAAAACCCTAAAACCCATTTAGGGTTTGTATCTCAGCCAGTCGCCGCCTTGCTTCTCAGCCGTTGGATCTAACTTAGATCCAATGGTCTAGATGGTTCCAGCAGGAAACCCTAGGGTTATGATACCCTAGGGTTATGATACCCTAGGGACTACGCCAGCTGCCGCCGCTCCACGTCGCTCCAGCCGCTGCCACGCCCCAACCGAAGGCTCCAGAAGTTCCAACGCCAGTCGTCCACGTTATGGCCCTAGGCTGAGTCACCACTGGGAGTCCGGTGACTCACCAGACTCCACTCTTTTACCCGGTCCGATGGTCACACCGGTGATGGCTATAAAGCCATCACCCAATCTGCAAAGCAAAAAACACCAACAGGCCACAGAGAGACAAACCGAGAGCAAAGATACAAAAACGGAGAGCAACAACACAACAACCAGCAAAAAATAAATAAAAAAAAGAAAGGAGAAAAGCTTACCGAGGAAGCCACGACCACCGGACCTCTTCAAACGTCACCAAAACCTTCGAAAATAGAAGGTACTTTCTTAGATTTGCTCCGATCGGGAGCTGTTTAAGAAAAAAGAGCATCGGAACCGTCATTAGGACGGTCCGATCTACATGGTGGGGTAAAAATAATTTTTTCCGGCCACCGGATACGGTGACCGGCGGTGAGAATCACGGCGGCAGACGGCTGCCGCCCGGTGACCGGCTTCCCTCCGATGAGGAAAGCTAGAGAGAGCCGAGAGAGCTTCTTCTTCTCTCGTTTGTGAGAGAGAAGAAAAGAAAGAATGAGCTACTGGCCATTCGGGCCAGCTATGAAGGGGCTTAAATAGCCCTCCCCAAACGACGCCGTTTTGGGGAGGGATCTGTTTGTAATTAACTAAAGGTTAAACCCTTTCCGCAGCCATCCTAACTTGTAAACTTTACATTTTAGTCACTAAATCAATTTATAATCCTTTTAATTCGGTTCTTTAATTTTAATTTTATTTATTTTAGTCATTTGTATTAAAATAATATTTAGGGTAAATAACAGATTTACCCGTTAATTTTAATAATTAATATTTTAATCTGAATAGTATGTTTAATTTATTTTAATCTAATATCCGAATTTTATAATTTTATTTTAGTCATTAAATTAATAAATAAGAAATAGCATGTTTAATCCCTATAATTTGATTAATTATAAATTAGGTTTTTAATTTAATTTTTTATAATTTAGTCACTAATTTTAAAATTTTCATTTATTTTACTGCTTTTAAATATATAGTTCTAATTGTATTTTATTGTTTTAATTTTACTTGTTTATATATTTAAATATTTTTTTATTATTATCTATAGTCATATAATATATATATATATAATAATAATATGTTTTTTTACATAAATTATTTTTTAATTTATTTATTTATTTATTTTTCAATATCGAAGAAAAGGGCAGTCTTAATACAACTGGATGTCCTATTCTGGTATTTTAAAATTAAATATTATAAAAAAATTATAATTTTATTATTATATTAAAATTTATTAATATAGAAGAAAAAGAGATGTCTTAAGGCACCTGAAGTCCTTTTCTGATATTTCTAATAAATAAATATTTTATTTATAAATATATATATAAATTATTTTTTCTTTTTTTCTCATAATTATAATTTTGAAATAATAGGATTATAAATTAAATATATTTTGAATTTTTAAATTTCTAATAATAGAGACAATTTATAATTAAAAAGTACCAATTTTGGGTGTTGTAGGGTGCTAATCTTCCCTAAACGTAACCGACCACAATCCTTTTTATTATTAAAAGGAAAGAATTTTTGTTATAAATGCAGATCAGTTCATCTTTTAACTGATGTTTTCTTAAAACTCTGTTAAATATAATTTTTTAGGTATTCGACCTACCTGACCCAAAAGGCCGATGGCGACTCCCAAATTATTTTCAAAATCATTTATTCACATCAATTTTCCCGTCAAGTAAAATTCGTGCCCGGACGAAAACCGGTTACGACAATAATATTTAAAAAAACAATTAATTAATGTGATTAGTCTATCTTAATTTTTATATATTTGTCTTATAATTTTGTTATATGTTCTTTTTATTTAATAATATTAATAATTAAAAATAATTAATTAAATTTAAAGGTAAAATATTATTTATTAAAAATGAACTTCAAAATATCAAAATTATAACTAACAAACAAAATTAATTTCTTCTTTTATCTGTAGTTAAAGACAGACATATGATTTTATTTTAAAGAACGGACTTATACAATTATATAAAAAATGAATTTAAAAAAAGAAAAAAGTTTTAATAAAAATATATAAAATAAATATAATTTTAATTTTTTAATAGGATAATAATTTCCATCATCTTTGTTTATAATCATAATAGGTAAGAGTCCATTAATATCTAAAGGGAAAAGCAATCAATGTATGTGTAAACACTTTTAAGACAGACAGGTAGGCGGGGGAGGCCAGATCAGCATAACCTCACAACCAAACAACCCATTTCACACCTTCCTAAGAAGTCAAGTAAGAATCGTAACCTCCCAAATTTTGTTTATTTATTTATGTTTTATTTACAAAAGCTGCAATTGCACGGTAACCTTAATAACTGATCTCTGCCCAATTCTCCTGCTTCTTCCTCTCTCTCAAAGGTGGTTCTTTTCTGGGATTAGAGAAAACCAAGAGTCGAAATTGAAAACCCCCCAAAACCCCTTTCTTTTCACATTAGGATGGTTGAGACTCGACGGAGCTCTTCCTCTTCCAAACGCTCGCCCTCTTCCAAACGTTCGCTTTCGTCTCCCCCGCCTACTTCTTGTAAAAGATCCAAGGTCCTCTCTCATTCTTTTTAATTATTTAGTTTCTTCTTATTCTTTCTGGTTTTTAGTTTGCATGTTTTTCGTGGTTTTCTCTCTCTCTCTCTCTCTCTCTCTCTCTCTTGATTTGAATCCGAGACTGTTTCTTTAGGCTTCTGAGTCGGCGTCATTTTCCACCGATGGAGCGGCGGTTTCCGGCACGCTTAACGAGTCCTTAGGTCCGCCCAAGGAATCCGGGTTGGAATCACGGGTCACGGAGCTCCGTTCTTCTGATCTCCGGGTATCTGATGCGGCTGCCGTTGCTGATGGGAAGAATGGTGCTTTGGTAAGAAGCCAGTAAAGCCTGTTAAATTAGGTTCTACAGTCCCTGGGGAAAGCTTCTTTCTCAGCACTCTCAAGTATGTATTTTGAACGACATTCTTTTTTCAAGTGACGAACTGGTTTTTGGTTCTTAATCCCTGTGATTCGCTTCTTTCTTAATCCTTGTTCTTTTAGCCAGTAAGTGCATTTAAAAGATGTTATTAATTTACACGAAGGAAGTTAATCAAAAGTGAAATAAACATGATATAAATCACATACAACATGAGATTTAACTAGTTCTATCTTGCCTAACTCCATAGATGAGAGAAACAATAATTCATTTTAAATATAGTGATGACAAAGAATACAAATATATGAAAATATTTATCTCATAATCCGGTATATGTCTCTCCAACCTGAATTACTTGGGAAATAATTTTGCAAGATAAGGGAAATTGGGATGTCTTAACCGCAATGCCATAACATAATGTCAGAAACTTTGAAGTAATAAAGGAAGTTGTAACAAACTGAGAAGTACAACTTGAGTGAACTTGTCTTTTAGGAGGAGGTTTCCCTTTGAGTAGGTAGAGTCTACCACAAAGCTCAACACTGCCAATCACCTTCCTGAAGTCAGGTGCTTAAAATTCACCAAGATTGAAATTAAATTTAGGGTAACAATTGAAATCTTTGAAAAGCTTGCTAATAGATAGAAGATTGCATGCTAAGGAACGTAAAAGACTAATGAAATATTAGGATTCTGTATCAGTTGAATGGTGCTAATCGCTTCAACTTTTGGAAAAGACCCATTTGCTGTCTTAACATTTGATGGAATTTTTTAGTTATCGAAAATCCTGAAATAAACTGAATATTTCATGTGAACTGATGCTCCAGAGTCTACTATCCATGCCGTAGATATTTTGTTATCTGTAGTATGTGCAAAAGAGATATGTGACGAATTGGGTACGTATTTCGTGATGAATGCTAGTTTGACTTGGAACTGATTTTCGAGGAAGATGGTGAGTCTGCCATAGCATTCTAGGGCTGGAACCTATGAAGCACGGGGACGGCCAAGGAGCCCGTTTCAAGTACCCGATACGTTTCCGGAACGGGGACGGCTGGGGTACGTACAGGGGATGTGCCACGGTGGAAGGTTACGACTGACCGAATTAAGGGGACAGTAAAATACCTGGGGATGTTTCGGGGACTATCGCGGTGTTGCGAACGGCGGCGACGCGGCGAGGAGTGAATGAACGACAGCTAGGTTTTGTGAAAAGAAAGAAAAGGAAGAAGGAACAGGCCATGCGTTGGGGTGGGGAAGAAGAAGGGATAATAGGATTTAAAGAATTTTTAGTCTACTTGTCAGTTGATCCTTGAGCATTCTAGGGCTTTCGAATATGGCAATAAGTTTTGCAGTATTTTCAAATTGGCCACCTAAATTAATTTAGGGATTTATGAAAAAAAATTCTCAAATGTTAGGATTTTTAATTAGATTTAAATTAGGGTGTTATACCAATTTTCTATGAAATATTGGCTTTATTTATGATTATTTACATCTATTTATAATTTAATTTTTTTATATGTCGTACCCTTGTTGTCCCCGTACCCTGCAATTTTAGAAATTGTCGTTTCCCGTCCTAATCCCCGTCCCCGTATCTGTTTCGGTGCAACATAGGCTGGAACAAACACTTACCTGATGCCATGTAGAAATGGGGAAGGTTTTTGGAACAGAGAAGAAATTGAATTCTCTGCATTTTCTCTGGTTCTCCCTATTAAAATGATATATAAGGTAGGCCTTATGTAAACAAATTTACAAGGAAGATATAATAGGAATATAATTCTAACTTAGTGTCCTACTAGGAGTTAACTTAATCTAATTAATATCCTATCTAATCTCTAAATTAGATAAGATGCAGAGTACAAAATAAATAGAAAATAAAACTCTAACAATTAAGTTGAACTAAAAGCTCTAACAACTAAGTTATGCTGCTACAATTTACAAGCACAATGTTATCTTCACCGGTCTTTTGTATTTCACTGAGAAATTAAACTCATTTAGATAGGAACTCCACTTAGCATGACGATCCTTGCCTCGTTCCTTTGAGCTCAAAAATTCCAACACTTCATGATCTGAGACTGAGTAAACCACAAATTCTCGATAAGCCAAGTAATGGTCAAACATCCCTTACCAAATCATAAAACTCTGGATTATAAGTTGAATAGAGTTGTTTAGCTTTTGATAGGTTCTCACTAGAAAATTCAACGGTTTTTCCTTCTTGTCTGAGAACTGCCCCAAATGCTACATGAGATGCATCATAGTCAATGAAAAATAACTTCTCAATGCCTGAAAGTGCAAGACAGGTACTTTGATCACTAAAATGTTAACCGCTTCGAAGTTCGAAGGCCCGAAAGGATTGATTTTGACCATTTGAAACTGTTCCTCTTTAAACATTCAGTTGTAGGACTCAAAACAGTGCTGATGTTCTTGATAAACCTACTATAAAATGAAGCCAACCCATGAAAGCTTCAAACATCTTTGAAATTCTGCAGTGGAGGGGAGGCCATTCTCTAGTGGAACAAACCTTCTGCAAATCGGGTTTGATTCCATCAGCAAAGGCAATAAAACCAAAAAAAGACACTTCTTGACACAAAAACTGTATTTCTTCAAATTCACAGAAAGCTCCCCTTTTATACACATCTCCAAAACTGGTCACAAGTGAGATAGGCTCAAAATGAATAGGAACGATGGAACACAAGAAAACTTAGGGTTATAGAAAACCGTTAGTTCTTCTTTATTAATTCAAAGAGAATTATAAGATAGATGTGGCTGTAGATCTATTACAACATATTTATAATAGACTTTCTTGCAAACAAAGTTACTAGACTTTCTTGCAAGCAAAGTTACTAGACTTTCTTGCAAGCAAAGTTACTAGACTTTCTTGCAAATAGAGTTTTTGTTCTTAACCTTAGACTTAACCCTCAAGAAAACTAATAATCTTATCTTTCCAAAACATATCAAATACTTGAACCAAATATTATAGAATAAAACTGACGTAATAAATAAAATAATATAAAATTAAGCTCCAGCGTCAATTTCCAAAAGTGAATCATTTCAGCTTAACTATTTAATCCATTTGCTCGGTTGTCAAAGGAAGGTAGTCTGTTGTCAAATTTTTTCAAGGAAGGATATGCCGCCAAATCACAAACTAATTAACCTCTTCATATTGGTTTTAATGCTTTGTGGTTGTTCTAATGCTAAACTGATGCGCTTCCACTTCTTGTTAATGTTCATTTTATCCCAGAATCCTCACCTAGTCATGTGTGGCACGCTATTCACTGTTGGACAAAGCCGTCAATGCAACTTATGTCTTAAGGATCAAAATATTGGCTCTGTTTTGTGCAAAGTGAAGCATATAGAGGTATGGATCTCCAAATACTTATTTTAAAACCTTTTCCTTGTTTTTTGTGTTTGTGAGTGTGCTGATTTTCTTTTCTCCAATGTAGAGAGATGGTACTTCCATTGCCTTGCTAGAAATTAGTGGAGGAAAAGGCTCGGTCCAGGTTAATGGTAGGACCTACCGTAAAAATACTAGTTTGATTCTAAATGCAGGCGATGAGTTGATTTTCACCAGTACCGGAAATCATGCTTATGTATCCTTTTCCTTTAACACGGCTTAATACATTGTTACAAATATGTTATTTCTCTCCTTCCCAAATGAAAGTCTATGTCATACCCCTTTCATGCATATTTCAGAAACATTGATGCTATATGATATGTCTTCTGTCCAATAACTGCTTTAATTCCTTAACGGCAACTTAGATTTTTCAGCAGCTTAGCAGTGATAACTTAGCAACCCCTGATGTTCCTTCTTCTCTAAACATTTTAGAAGCCCAGACTGCTCCTTTAAAAAGGATTATCGAGACTCAGCCACGGGAACCAGCAGCTGTTGCTGGGGCAGCAACAATATTGGCTTCTTTGTCAACTAAAGAGAATTCTGAGATGTCCACTCCACCTTCTGGTTGTGAGGTGTCAGATGATCGTGTTCCAGAAGTTGACATGAAGGACGGTGCTAGTAACACTGATCCAGTAGCTGCTTCTTCAAGGGAGAAAACTGTTGTTCCTGTTGCTACCAATGAAAGCCCTAATCTTGATAGACTTGGATTAGATGATACCATGGATGCTGACAATTCAAAGGTCCCTGGGGTTGGTTACCCTTTAAGGCCATTATTGCATATCCTCGCTGGTACCTCTTCACCAGACTTTGATTTTAGTGGCAGTATTGCCAAAATTCTTGATGAGCAAAGGGAAATTAGGGAGATGTTTAAGGAATTTGAACCTCCTGCGGTTTCGATATCAGCCAAGCGGCAAGCATTTAAAGATAATTTACAAGAAAGCATTCTCAATCCTAACGATATAGACATCTTTTTTGACAATTTTCCATATTATTTGAGGTAATCTGGTGCTGCTCTTAAGTTTGACTTGCATTTTTGTCTCATCTGGGGAATATGTTTTGATCATTCCTTGTTTGTCTTGTGAAACCGAATTTGAATTATTGATTTTACTTACTTTGCTTATCTTCTTTTCCCCTAATTTGCTAGTCCATATATTATTTATGTTCTGAAAGTTGATCAGTCAATATAGCATGTGGCGAGAATTCTGTTTGTTGCTGTCCAGTATTATCTTTGTGTTGTACCTACTTAACTGCCTATTTTACCGAATCTGAAGCATTGGTGAAGTTTGATTAATTTTATTTGAAAATTTCCGTTGTGACAGTGGTACAACAAAGAATGTGTTGATAGCCTCAACCTATGTGCATTTGAAGTGTGGTAAATTTGCGAAGTACACCTCAAGTCTTCCTACCATGAGTCCTCGCATATTGTTATGTGGTCCTGCAGGTGTGGTTGCTGTTTTCTGTTAATTTTCCATTTAAACAAAGTTGCTCTATCTAATTCCTGATGAGGGCATTTTGATATGTATAGGTTCAGAAATATATCAGGAGACTTTGGTTAAGGCACTTGCAAAACATTTTGGTGCTAGATTGCTAATTGTGGATTCCCTTCTGTTGCCTGGAGTATGCTTCTTTCACTCAACTTGTTTTGTTTTTCATTTTTGTTTTTGCTTTGCCAATTGCATGTTAAGGACCAGTTGAAATTGCAGTCTGTACTTTCTACTTAATTTTATGTATTTCACTCGTTTTGAAATTTTTGTGCATATGATTATTCTTAAATCTTCCATGGAAGGGATTTTGTTTGTTGATTGTTCTTGCATTAGGATGCATGTAAAACACTAAAGTTCCTTCTCAATTTGAATGCAAGTTGTGTCAAACAATTTTTGAAGTTCCTTAAGTTTTGATTATTTCTCAAGCTAGATATTCTGATTGATTTCTTGTTGCAAAATTTTCTTCATTTTTTACTTTCTCAGTTTCTAAATGACTGAATATTTTCGTGGCATCTTATCTTCTACTTTTCCTTCCCAATATAATCAGGGATCAACGTCAAAAGATGTTGATGCTGTGCAAGAGACTTCAAGAGATGAAAATGTAACTGTATATGCCAGAAGATCTGCGCAGGTTGCTGCTATGCAGCAGAAGAAACCAACTTCTAGTGTTGAGGCTGATATAACTGGTGGCTCTTCACTGAGCTCCCAAGCTTTGCCAAAGCAGGAGGTATCTACTGCAACATCTAAAAATTATACATTTAAGAAAGGTATGACATTTGTTTGGGATAATACTAGAGAGTTGGCTGTTAATTTGTTGATGGAACATCACCTGCTTCTAACTGAAATTATTAATTTGAAATTTTCAGGTGACAGGGTTAAGTTTGTAGGTGATGCATCACCATCTGGACCTTTTTCTCTACAACCAGCTTTAAGGTATATTTTTACTTTATCTTTTATATTCGACAGCTTTGTTAACCATGGTCAGTTTTCTCTTTAATAGCAAGTACAAATGTAATTTCTCAAGGGATATATTTTATCAATGCATTCATTATGATTTGCAAAAGGTTGAGTAGTTCTTTTGTGTAGGGGACCAACAATTGGGTTTCGGGGAAAAGTAGTCTTTGCTTTCGAAGAAAACGGTTCCTCAAAAATCGGGGTCAGATTTGACAGATCTATTCCAGAGGGCAATGATCTTGGTGGGCTTTGTGAAGAAGATCATGGTTTCTTCTGTGCCGGTGATCTCTTTTACCCCATTTTGCATTAGTTTAAGTATCTTTTATGACTCATTGTGGACTTGTATCTGTCTTACCATTGTTTTTTTCACTCTATAGGTAGCTCACTTCGCTTGGATAGTTCTGGAGGTGATGATGTTGACAAGATGGCTGTTAATGAACTTTTTGAGGTACATGCCATTGATTAATCAATGCAGAGCATTGGTTTACTGTGCTCATATTTTTAAGCATTTATCTTTGAATTGTCTTTCTTCAATAGGTTGCATTGAATGAAAGCAAAAACGGTCCATTGATATTGCTTGTGAAAGACATAGAGAAGTCTGTCGCTGGAAATACAGATGTGTATACTTCCTTGAAGAGTAAGGTTGAGAATTTTCCTGCTAATGTTGTAGTAATTGGTTCACTTGCCCATATGGATAATCGTAAGGAAAAAGTAAGCAACTTGCTATTTTTTTCATTTAGCTGTTTTTCGTTTGATGCTATATGAATATGAAGCATATCTTTCGAGTGTTCAATTTTGACAGTTTTTTGTTTTTGCAGTCTCATCCTGGTGGCCTTTTGTTCACAAAATTTGGAGTCAACCAGACAGCGTTACTTGATTTTGCATTTCCTGTATGTCAAGAACCAACTTATTTTCTCTTTTGGCTTATATTTCTTCTCCTTGAAAGATATTGAAGCATTTTGGCAGACTGCTCGTGCTTTTTTCTACCACTGTCTTTATTTAATTGTATACCTGTCTTAGGTATCTCTAACTCTACTCGTATTGACCTCCAGAAGTAGCATGTTTGATTATATGCTAACTTTTCAAGGTTTATATATACTTTGAATTTTGAATTCTCTGAATTTCTCTGGAATTGTGAAATGATTACAATCTAAAAACATATAGATATTTCTTGGCTTGTATTCCACATGCTGCAATGCACACCTAGTTATTATAGTGGATGGTTTTTTTTTGGTTCTATTACCCAAGTGACTCGGCTTCTGGAGAGTATCCTATGTGTTGAACCAACTTCCTTAGAGCATTGTAATCTTGCATTTGGCTACTTTCTAATTACAACATGGCTAATATGAGTATCATCCCTTATGCAGGATAATTTTGGTAGACTTCATGAGAGGAACAAAGAAACATCTAAGACCATGAAACAAGTTACTCGACTTTTTCCTAACAAAGTGACAATCCAGTTGCCTCAGGTATGTTTTGTCAGTTTCTTCTTCAGTTATCTTGTCATGACTATCGAAATATTTATATTAATATTCCTGAATCGTGTCAGGATGAAGCTTCACTTCTAGACTGGAAGCTGCAACTGGAGCGTGACATTGAGACTCTTAAAGCTCAGTCAAACATCGTTAGCATTCGAGCAGTGAGTATTGTTATAAAATTTGTTTTTTCCATTCACTTTTATTTTGCCTGTCAGGAGGAGCTTCTGTCATTGCCTGAAAGTGGCTTATGTTCTTCGCCTTTTGTAAAACCTTCTTGTAAGTGTAGATTATTAGCCTAGTGTGATGCAAAACTACAAGAAAGTTGAAGAATATAAAAATACACGTCATGATTCCCCCAACCTATTCTCCCTCTCCCAAACAGACAGAAGTTCCCTTGTGTCCTACTGTCGTTGTTATATTTTGAAGTTGATAAACAGTTTATTTGAAATTCTGAGGTTCAAGTCTGTTTTTGGAGATTCTTATAACCGTTCTCTGCTATCAGGTTCTCCATCAAAATGGTTTGGATTGCCCTGATCTTGAAACACTCTGCATTAAGGATCAAACACTTACAAATGAGAGTAAGTATTGTTGAGCTCCTAACTATTACTGTGTACCAAGTGTATGTTCATGTTTCTTATTTTATATGGAAGATTTTCAGATTTTTTTGAATTTTAATTGATCATTTCTTTTGAAGGTTTTAAATATGTAAAAACTTTTCCCTCTAAAACCAAAAGAACATGATTGTACCTTTAAAAGAAGTTGGAAGCAAAATATTGTAATCCCTTTTACTCCAATATAACTAATCTTTTTACCTTTCTAATACTGTAGATGTTGAGAGAGTTGTAGGCTGGGCCTTAAGTCACCACTTAATGCATTCTTCTGAAGTATTGTTGAAAGATGCTAAACTCGTTGTATCAACTGAAAGGTTATATGCTCTCTTCCTTTCTTGCAGTGTACATTTGTGAAATGTCAAAAGAGAAGCTAGGATTTTACAAATTAGCATTTCATTCTTGTGCTGACTTCTTCTTCATTTTTTTTGTGAATTTTCTATTTCAGCATCAGATATGGTCTGGACATTTTGCAAGGCATTCAAAGTGAAAGCAAAAGCTTGAAGAAATCACTGAAGGTAGGTTGTCTTCCTTCCATTGGGTTCTATGTGTAGTCGTTACTCTGATACAGTTATCCCTTATGTTTATCTGGTTAGAAAGTTTATACTGTATATTACATTTATTCTTCTGAATTGCAGGATGTGGTCACTGAGAATGAATTTGAAAAGAAACTTCTTGCTGATGTTATTCCACCAAGTGATATTGGGGTTAGTTTTGATGATATTGGAGCCCTTGAGAATGTCAAAGACACCTTGAAGGAATTGGTGATGCTTCCACTTCAAAGGCCTGAATTGTTTTGCAAGGGACAGTTGACAAAGGTACTTTCAGTATGTTGTTTTGCTTTATCATATGTTACATGGAATTCTTTTTTTCTAAGAAACTCCTGTTGTTTTATTATTTTGTAGCCCTGTAAAGGAATATTGCTTTTTGGGCCTCCTGGTACTGGAAAAACGATGCTTGCCAAGGCTGTTGCAACCGAAGCTGGCGCAAACTTTATTAACATATCAATGTCCAGCATTACTTCAAAGGTATTTTAAGCAAATAGGAACTTTGGCATGCACCTTATCTGTTGGATAGTTTCTGTTTGATACATGCATGACATATTTGCATGTTTTGCAGTGGTTTGGTGAAGGAGAGAAGTACGTTAAAGCCGTTTTCTCTCTGGCCAGTAAAATTGCACCAAGTGTTATCTTTGTTGATGAGGTTTGTTAAACTTGTGTAGGGTTTTTTAATATCATATTTTATCTGTTTTCTGTTCTCTGAAGGTTAGTTGTTATTTTATTGTATGTCTTGTATTTTTTTCCGTCTTCTTCCTGTTTATTTAATAGGATATGTAGTTTTATTGATTTGATTGGTTATTTTAGGTTGATAGCATGTTAGGAAGACGGGAAAATCCTGGTGAACATGAGGCTATGCGTAAAATGAAGAATGAATTTATGGTAAACTGGGATGGCCTTCGCACCAAGGATAAAGAACGGGTATTGGTTCTTGCAGCCACAAACCGGCCATATGACCTTGATGAGGCAGTCATCCGGAGGCTTCCTCGAAGGTAACTTGCATGTGTTGTGTTGAATTGCTGCATTCTGACCTTATGATAAGTACCATTGACCCAGTTGAATGATGTGCAGATTGATGGTTAATTTGCCAGATGCTCCAAACAGAGAAAAGATTTTAAGAGTTATATTAGCCAAGGAGCAATTGTCAGCCGATGTTGATTTGGAGGCTATTGCAAATATTACTGATGGATACTCCGGAAGTGACTTGAAGGTTGATCCTTCCACCTTTTCACTTGATTGTCTTTGAAAATGTAAAAGCGTGTTATGAACCATAGAATGAATAAAGTAGGGTCAATTGCAAATCACATGCTAATAATACATTGAACAAGCTAGCTCATTTTCTATTGCAGCTAAATAATGATTCTTAATGAGTTTTCATCTGTATTAGGTTGTTAATAGTTCACATTTTTAACTATTTTTGAACTCTTCTTTCCCTTTAATTTAACTCTTCATAGTTATTAGCAAGGCTTCTCCAATCCTGTCAACCGTGTTATCTTATGAATTTTATTCAGTGCCAAATTGAAGCTTTTAAATGGGTTTAGTGACCTTTAAAAAAATGAGTTTATTGGCTTTTCCTGTTTACCTATTTTTGTTTCCCTAATATAATTTTTGTATTGCAGAACCTTTGTGTGATTGCTGCACATTGTCCCATACGAGAAATTTTGGAAAAGGAAAAGAAGGTTAGTCTCTGATACTTTTCGTTTCTTACTGGTTCTACAAAATGTTTGTGGGTATCAGCATGTCGACTATGATGGTTTTACAAATGGTGCTAATAACTGATGGATCTGTCATTTACATGCTTAACAAGCACATTACATATCCTGATGCTATTTTATTAATGGTGTCTATTATTAGATACATATTTTGATTCCTGTTCTATGTGATTGTACGGAATTTTTGCTTGACTAACTTGTTCCCATAGGCCGAGAAGATAAAAAATATGCCTGGTTGGGTTTTGGAACGATAATTGTACCCTTTCTATGATCCATTGCATACTTTCTTACATGAAAGTGTACTATTTGAATGAATACAGACTGATATATCATGCAAATTTCAGGAGAGAGCTTTAGCTGTGACTGAGAATAGACCTGTGCCTTCCTTGTATAGCAGTGCTGACATTCGTTCCCTGAAAATGGATGATTTTAAACGTGCACATGATCAGGTACTATACTTGGTCACAAATCATTATAGCTGATATTTGTCAAATCCAATGATTGAGAATGCAAAATTTGTGCATGTGTAAAGGAATATTATATTATATTTGATTGGTTTGAATGGTCAGGTTTGTGCAAGTGTGTCATCGGAGTCTACAAATATGAATGAGCTTGTTCAATGGAACGAGTTATATGGAGAAGGTGGATCAAGAAAGAAAACACAACTAAGCTACTTCATGTAGAAGAGGCATCTTTATTTATAGCTTTTCCATTCATTATTGGCTAAAAGGGTGGCCAAGTTGAGATATAAGACCTGTTTAAGGAAATCCCATGTGCAGGTCCCAGCTTTCTTGTAACATATAATAGTACTATATAATATAGGTTTTTGAAAATTACCAGTCTTTATGTTGGCAATTTTACAGTATTTATGAAGCAGGTTAAGTTTATTAAAAGCATCTCCCATTCCCCTTGTTCCTATTATAGTTGGTACCGTATGCTCTCCCTACCTGCACAAATCAAGCAATGAAGCAATTCTTTGTAATTTTATAAATGCTATGACAGTTCTTGGAAATGAAATAAATGAAAATACATCCTCATCCTGATCCCCCAAAATTCCTTGGTATCTGTGTTTTTGCTCTGAGGTGGGTTTTCGTGTTGAGGTTTGCTAGAAGTTATAATTTGTGTTTATTTGCTAAAATAGCAATGTTTACTAATTGATGACATTGATGATGTGGTATGTGTCATGTTACCTAAGTTGATGATGTGTCATGTCACTTAAAATAAAGATGTGTTGTATACCATGTCATCCAAAATGAAGATGTGACGTGTGTCATGTCACCTACAATGATAGTGTGATGTGTGTCATTTCACCCACAATGATGATGTGGAGTGTGCCATGCCATTTAAAATGAAGATGTGGCGTGTATCATGTCACTTAAGGAGACAATGTGTAACGTGACACATCACTAAAATGATGTATCTAGGGATGTAAAAAGTTGAGTCGACCTGTAAAATTGATTGAAATTGACTCGAGTTCGAATTGGTGTTTCCATAACCTGAGTTGGACCTGAAAATTGTGGATATGAATTTGACATACACCTAATATGAGAATAACTTGAACTCGAATTGAATTGATAATATGATAATTGAACCTTACCAACGTTCAACTGAAATGAACTCGAGATTAACCTAGTAAATAACTGGTATTACTTTACTTGTTATTAACCTGATCTGTTATGAACCTGACTTGTAATTGACTCAACCCGTAGATAATCCGATTTGTTAATAAACTGATATGATATTTATGTAACTTGATATTTAAATGACTTATAAGTTACAATTGGTGAAGTTGTGAGATTTTGAATTTATAATAAACTATGATAACTAAAATGATTACATTTTAAAAGATAAAACAAATTGTTTGTTATGATAATTAAATTAATAAATTTACTTTCTATATTAATTATAATCCTTATGTTATAAATATTAATAATAATAAATTATTTAGTGAAATTAAAATAATTTATTTGTGAACATGATTTTATTAGATTATATAAAATTAATTTAAATATTTATAAGTTTAATTTATTTTTATGTAATAATTAATTAATAATTTAAATATAATTTAAATTTAAAATATATATAAAATATTATTTATTTGAGATTGAAAATTTAAAATCTTAAAAGAAAGATTATTTTTTTAGGAAAAATTAATTTTTTGTAAATTTAAAAGTGACATTTGGTAGGATTGATTAGGCACGCACTCCAACAATCAATGATTTTTATTTTTTTATTTGGTTTTTGATTTTTTTTCACTTCAATCATGGTTTAATTGTAAATCTCTTAGGTGGCGTTTGGTTAGATGGAATCCCTTGAAATTGATTGGAATTGGAATCAAATTCCACCACTTTCCCATGTTTGGTTCAAGTTTTTCAAGGGAATTGGAATCCCTGATGGAATTCAATTCCATCAAATGAGGGAAAGTGAATTTCATCCAAAAATGGATGGAATTCAATTCCCTTGTTGGAGGGAATTGAAATTTGATCATACTACCATCATCAATCCTTTGGTAACTTATTCATATATTGAATAAAAATATTTTTTTATTATTTCGGGTTGGGTCGGGTTTCTAATTCATATATTCGGGTCGGGTTCGGGTTTAGGGTGAAAAAAACTGGACCAACCCGAAAATATATATAATTCAGGTCGGGTCGGATTAAGTCACTGTTTTTATTAAATAAAAATATTTTTTATTATTTTGGGTCGGGTCGAGTTGGATTTCTAATTCATATATTCGGGTCGGGTCGGATGAAACTTTATTTTGTTCGGGTCGGGTCGGGTTTTTTAAGTGTGATATTCGGTTCGAGTCGGGTCAGGTTTTTTTAAGTGTGATATTCGGATTGGGTCGGGTCGGGTTCAGGTTTAGTGTGAAAAAAACCGGACCGACCCGAAAATATATATAATTCGGGTTGGGTCGGGTCGGATTAAGTCACTGTTTTTATTAAATAAAAATATTTTTTTATTTCGGGTCGGGTCGGATTTCTAATTCATATATTCGGGTCGGGTCGGATGAAACTTTATTTTGTTCAGGTCGGGTGGGTTTTTTTAAGTGTGATATTCGGGTCAGGTCGGGTCAAGTTCGGGTTTAGGGTGAAAAAAACCGGACTGACCCGAAAAAATATATAATTTTACCTTATATATTTAGGAATAATTATAATAATACCCCTCTATATAGTTTTTTTTTCAATTAAGTCAATGTTTTTATTGAATAAAAATATTTTTTTATTATTTTGAGTCGTGTCGGGTCGAGTTTCTAATTCATATATTGAATAAAAATAGTTTTTGGTATATTTTTTGGTAACTAATTAACATACTCCGATTGGAATGTATCGAAATATTGCTCTATCTTTTGGTAACTTATTAACATATTTTGATTGCGATGATTTTAACTTATAATATTTATTAGCATGATTTTTATAATTTATTGAAATGAATAATCAATCAATAAAATGAAAATTTAATATTTTTTAATTTTTTATAATATATTACTACATGTAAGTTATAAAATAAACTAAAATAAAGCAAAAAAACAAGAAGGGCAATTCTGTCATTTTACATTACTGAAATCAAATTCATCTGACATATCTGCGAACTAAACAGAATATGGAATTGGATTCCAATTTCATTTACTGCCAACCAAACAAAATATGGAATTAAATTCCAATTCCTACAGATTCCAATTCCTTAACATATTCCAATTCCCTCATAAACATTCCATCGAACCAAACGCCACCTTATTGAATTTTCAATTTAATGAACTTTAGTTATGTATACATTATAATTCTAGTTATTAAATGTGAATGTTAATTTTAGAATCTTTTATTTTAGTTACTTGTGTTTAATGATATATTTTAGTTACTTGTGTTTAATGATATATATATATATATATATATATATATATATATATATATAGAGTTTTCTCTCATTAGTGTGCCGCTCATCTCTTTTCTTTTTCATCTTCGTTGATCGACAGAGACAATAATTTTAATGTTGGTTGTTGACCGTCAGTAATCTTTATTATATTTTTCTTTTCTATAGCATATCTTTATTTTTTTATTTTCAATAAGTTTGTCTGTGTTGCACGTTTTCATCTGCCTTTATGACACGTTATCTTATGCTTTTGGTAAGTTTTTCGGTTCTTTGACCATTTTTATTTATCTTTTTTTTCTTTTAAGAGTTGATTTGACATCGCCACGACTGATCAAGATCTCACTTATTTGATATCTTGTGGTCTTCCCTTCTTTGAACTCTCATATTGGATTTAGATACCCAATTTGCGTTCGTGGATAGCTTTTCATGTTGCTCGAGTCTGATTTGCAGTTTGACGGTGGTCTTTCAATAACTTGATCATTTTTTGGTTCGTTTGTCGATGTGATCAGATCTATTCATTTATATCTTTTTTCGATTTTTTTTTGTTAGATTTAATCTTCCCTTGTAAAGTCCTTATGTGATCTTAAGTTACTAATTTTGTTTCAATGATAATAGGAAATTTTCCTAATTATGTGTTTAATTTACAATTGTAATTATAAATCTTTATTGTAATTTAGAATATTCTTATTTTGAATAAAATTAGTTGCTTCTATCAATATATGCATATATAAAGTATAAAGTATATAAAGTATAAAGTATATATATATATATTAAACTTATATTCATACTTATGTACTAAGGATGGCAAACGGGTGGGGTAGGTGCAGGTACCCCTTCCCACATCCACATACCCACATAATACCCACTACCCACGATGGGTAAAATTTTTAAATACACACCTGCCCACATGGATACATTCTCAAATTTACCCCATCCCCACTATCTAACTGGATATCCACCACTCATCTCATATTCGTCTGTACCCACCGTACCCGTCAATTTGAGATAGTAGAAACAACGATCTTCAATTCTAGAAATGTTTATATCCTAACATTAGGTTAAATTCAAGTCATATAATATAAAAGCTTAAGGTTTACATAATAGTCTCTAAAATTATATCTAAATTCATAATTGTCAAAAATTTATATGGTGAGTAGTTAGTGGCTGGGTGGAAGGGGGAGGCGGGAAGATGCGGGATAGATAAGGTCTTAAACCCATCACTTACTCACTACCCACGGTGAATATGACTTTTTACATCTACACCGGCCCACTACCCACTAAACTTATACCCATCTCCACCCTAATTGGAGTGGGTATGGTGCGAAACCCATGAAATTGTACCTGTCTACTATCTCTATTATGTACATATATCATATATATCTACATACATCAATGATTAATGATAAGTGTATATGTATGTATGTATGTATGTATGTATGTATGTATGTATGTATGTACGTATGTATGTATATACGTATGTATGTATGTACGTATGTATATATATACGTATGTATGTATGTATGTATGTATGTACGTATTTATGTATGTATGTATGTACGCATATATGTATGTACGTATGTATGTATGTACGTATGTATGTATGTATGTATGTATGTACGTATGTATGTATGTACGTATGTATGTATGTACGTATGTATGTATGTACGTAGGTAGGTATGTACGTAGGTAGATATGTACGTAGGTAGGTATGTACGTAGGTACGTATGTACGTAGGTACGTATATACATATGTACGTATGTACGTATGTATGTATGTACATATATACGTATGTACGTATGTACGTACGTATGTATATATGTATGTATATATGTATGTATGTACTTATATTAATAAAATGGACTTGTACTTATATATATACTGTTGAAAACATTTTGATGTTTTGATATAACAAATTAAGTTAAATGAATTTTAAGATTTTACAAATGATTTTCTAAGTATATTCGATTTAATTAACTCGAATATCAAAATATTACTCCAAGTCTTTCAAAGTTCAATTTCAATCCTTACTAATGTGTAAAGTTGTGTTTTATACTTCAAATATTTTTGAAACAATTTTTACA